TACAGCAATAAAGGAATCGAACAGACTGCCCGCATATGTCAAAGTAAGTAAGTAAGTTTATTCAGGTATACACAGATAAAGTTACATAGAACTATCATACATAGCAGCATATGTGTAGAGAACCTAGGATAACCCAAAAAAGTCAGACAGAGTGACTTATTTCCATTGGGGTCCTTTACTTATTTCCATTGGGGTCCAGTCATAGCATGAACCAGTTCAAGAAGAGTGCTAAAAGGTGGCTGATGAATGTAGCTACAGAAAGGGAGGGGAATGATTTTCTATTTTTTAGCTACATACGTGTAAATTTTACCTTATTCCTAGTAATGACCCTCGTATTGTAGATAGTCTTAATGACCCTCGTGTAGTACATAGTCTTTTTAGTGTGATAATAAGATGTTATCTTCATTATAGAATAATAAGAAAATATTGTAACATTTATATTATGGTAAACACGAGGAAATTAAAACTTCATCAGAGTACAAAACAAATTCCGGCCACAAATTAGAGCGAAAAGCCAACGTCAAAGACCTGGGAGGGATCATGTTTACCTGGAGTTTACCTGGAGAGAGTTCCGGGGGTCAACGCCCCCGCGGCCCGGTCTGTGGTCAGGCCTCCTGGTGGATCAGAGCCTGATCAACCAGGCTGTTGCTGCTGGCTGCACGCAAACCAACGTACGAGCCACAGCCCGGCTGGTCAGGAACCGACTTTAGGTGCTTATCCAGTGCCAGCTTGAAGACTTCCAGGGATCTGTTGGTAATCCCCCTTATGTATGCTGGGAGGCAGTTGAGCAGTTTTGGACCCCTGACACTTATTGTATGGTCTCTTAAAGTGCTAGTGACACCCCTGCTTTTCATTGGGGGGATGTTGCATCGTCTGCCAAGTCTTTTGCTTTCGTTGTGAGTGATTTTCGTGTGCAAGTTCGGTACTAGTCCCTCTAGGATTTTCCAGGTGTATATAATCATGTATCTCTCCCACCTGCGTTCCAGGGAATACAGTTTTAGGAACCTCAAGCGCTTCCAGTAATTGAGGTGTTTTATCTCCGTTATGCACGCCGTGAAGGTTCTCTGTACATTTTCTAGGTCAGCAATTTCACCTGCCTTGAAAGGTGCTGTTAGTGTGCAGCAATATTCCAGCCTAGATAGAACAAGTGACCTGAAGAATGTCATCATGGGCTTGGCCTCCCTAGTTTTGAAGGTTCTCATTATCTATCCTGTCATTTTTCTAACAGATGCGATTGATACAATGTTATGGTCCTTGAAGGTGAGATCCTCCGACATGATCACTCCCAGGTCTTTGACGTTGGTGTTTTGCTCTATTTTGTGGCCAGAATTTGTTTTGTACTCTGATGAAGATTTAATTTCCTCATGTTTACCATATCTGAGTAATTGAAATTACTCATCGTTGAACTTCATATTGTTTTCTGCAGCCCACTGAAAGATTTGGTTGATGTCCGCCTGGAGCCTTGCAGTGTCTGCAATGGAAGACACTGTCAAGCAGATTCGGGTGTCATCTGCAAAGGAAGACACGCTGCTGTGGCTGACATCCTTGTCTATGTCGGATATGAGGATGAGGAACAAGATGGGAGCGAGTACTGTGCCTTGTGGAACAGGGCTTTTCACCGTAGCTGCCTCGGACTTTACTCTGTTGACGACTACTCTCTGTGTTCTGTTAGTGAGGAAATTATAGATCCATCGACCGACTTTTCCTGTTATTCCTTTAGCGCGCATTTTGTGCGCTATTACGCCATGGTCACACTTGTCGAAAGCTTTTGCAAAGTCTGTATATATTACATCTGCATTCTTTTTGTCTTCTAGTGCATTTAGGACCTTGTCGTAGTGATCCAGTAGTTGAGACAGACAGGAGCGACCTGTTCTAAACCCATGTTGCCCTGGGTTGTGTAACTGATGGGTTTCTAGATGGGTGGTGATCTTGCTTCTTAGGACCCTTTCAAAGATTTTTATGATATGGGATCTTAGTACTATCGGTCTGTAGTTCTTTGCTGTTGCTTTACTGCCCCCTTTGTGGAGTGGGGCTATGTCTGTTGTTTTTAGTAACTGTGGGACGACCCCCGTGTCCATGCTCCATCTCCATAGGATGGAAAAGGCTCGTGATAGAGGCTTCTTGCAGTTCTTGATGAACACGGAGTTCCATGAGTCTGGCCCTGGGGCAGAGTGCATGGGCATGTCATTTATCGCCTGTTCGAAGTCATTTGGCGTCAGGATAACATCGGATAGGCTTGTGTTAACCAAATTTGTGATCATAAAAATTCATTTTGATCTTCGACTCTCAGTCTGGTTAGTGGCTTGCTAAAAACTGAGTCATATTGGGACTTGAGTAGCTCACTCATTTCCTTGTTGTCATCTGTGTAGGACTCATCTTGTTTAAGTAGGGGCCCAATACTGGACGTTGTTCTCGACTTTGATTTGGCATAGGAGAAGAAATACTTTGGGTTTCTTACGATTTCATTTATGGCTTTTAGTTCTTCCCGCGATTCCTGACTCCTATAAGATTCCTTTAGCTTAAGTTCGATGCTTGCTATTTCTCTGACCAGTGTCTCCCTACGCATTTCAGATATATTGACCTCTTTTAGCCGCTCTGTTATTCTTTTCGTCGCCTGTAAAGGGAGCGCCTGTCTCTTTCTATTTTACATCTACTCCTTTTTCTTAGAGGAATAAGCCTTGTGCATACATCGAGTGCCACCAAGTTAATCTGTTCTAGGCATAAGTTGGGGTCTGTGTTGCTTAGTATATCTTCCCAGCTTATATCGGTTAGGACTTGGTTTACTTGGTCCCACTTTATGTTTTTGTTATTGAAGTTGAATTTGGTGAATGCTCCCTCGTGACTAGTCTCATTATGTCGGTCTGGGGCTCCACGCATACATGTCTGAACCTCAATTATGTTGTGATCTGAGTATATTGTTTTTGATATGGTGACATTTCTTATCAGATCATCATTGTTAGTGAAGATGAGGTCTAGTGTATTCTCCAGTCTAGTAGGCTCTATTATTTGCTGGTTTAAATTGAATTTTGTGCAGAGATTTAAAAGCTCGTGTGAGTGTGAGTTTTCATCAGAGCTGCCTCCTGGTTTATTACTGCAACAATATTATTTGCTATATTCCTCCATTTTAGGTGCCTTAAGTTGAAATCCCCCAGGAGCAAGATGTTGGGTGCAGGAGCTGGAAGATTTTCCAGACAGTGGTCAATTTTTAACAGCTGTTCCTGGAACTGCTGGGATGTTGCATCCGGAGGCTTGTAGACTACCACAATGACTAGGTTTTGGTTCTCGACCTTTACTGCTAAAACTTCCACTACATCATTTGAGGCATTAAGCAGTTCTGTGCAAACAAGTGACTCTGCAATGTACAGGCCAACCCCCCCCCTTTGCCTGTTCACTCTGTCACATCTGTATAGGTTGTAACCTGGGATCCATATTTCGTTGTCCAAGTGATCCTTTATGTGGGTCTCAGTGAAAGCCGCAAACATTGCCTTTGCCTCTGCAAGCAGTCCACGGATGAAAGGTATTTTGTTGTTTGTTGCTGGCTTTAGACCCTGTATATTTGCAAAGAAGAAGGTCATCGGACTGGTGGTATTGTTGGTACTGGGGGGGGGGATTTTTTTTCCGGCATTAGTATCTGTATCTGTTGGTTTGGAGTGGAGGCCATCGACTGTGGTTCCACTCCAGGAATGACTGGATTTGGTGTACGATTTCTGCCATTTCCTGCCAGTTTTTTTTTCCTTCCTGGCACTAAAAACCTCTCCCTCTTGAGTGGCTGTGGCTACCCAGGTTTTCCCATGGCCTGGATGTTTTGTATCTTTTTGTCCCCTTTAGATGGTGTGCCTGGCAATTTAAGTTATAGCACAGTCTTTCCTGTACTGAAGAGGATCTCACCTTCAAAGACCATAACATTGTATCAATCGCAGCTGCTAGAAAAATGACAGGATGGATAATGAGAACCTTCAAAACTAGGGATGCCAAGCCCATGATGACACTCTTCAGGTCGCTTGTTCTATCTAGGCTGGAATATTGCTGCACACTAACAGCACTTTTCAAGGCAGGTGAAATTGCTGACCTAGAAAATGTACAGAGAACCTTCACGGCGTGCATAACGGAGATAAAACACCTCAATTACTGGGAGCGCTTGAAGTTCCTTAACCTGTATTCCCTGGAACGCAGGCGGGAGAGATACATGATTATATACACCTGGAAAATCCTAGAGGGACTAGTACCGAACTTGCACACGAAAATCACTCACAACGAAAGCAAAAGACTTGGTAGAATATGCAACATCCCCCCAATGAAAAGCAGGGGTGTCACTAGCATGTTAAGAGACCATACAATAAGTGTCAGGGGCCCGAGACTGTTCAACTGCCTCCCAGCATACATAAGGGGGATTACCAATAGACCCCTGACAGTCTTCAAGCTGGCACTGGACAAGCACCTAAAGTCGGTACCTGACCAGCCGGGCTGTGGCTCGTACGTTGGATTGCGTGCAGCCAGCAGTAACAGCCTAGTTGATCAGGCTCTGATCCACCAGGAGGCCTGGTCACAGACCGGGCCGCGGGGGCGTTGACCCCCGGAACTCTCTCCAGGTAAACTCCAAGTAATAATAATAATGTAAAAGGACCCCAATGGAAATAATTCACTCTGACTTTTTTGGGTTATCCTAGGTTCTCTACACATATGCTGCTATGTATGATAATTCTATGTAACTGTATTTGTGTATACCTGAATAAACTTACTTATTCCCGCACTTCACTGAGTCAGTAGCCGGTTTCCTCCAAGCCGTAGAAATCCGCACAGCGAACACCAGCAGCTTGGAGTGTAAGGTAACATAATAATAATATATATTTCTACAAGTACAAGTACTAGGTATACAGGCCTAGCTGACATCAGTGACATACTGCTATATAGAAAGCCCCTTGTTATGCAGAGCAATTCGGGCAAATTAGGTCAAATTTCTCTTGGGATGCGACCCACTCCAGTCGACTAACACCCAGGAACCTATTTTACTGATGGGTGCACATTGGACAGCAGGAAACACTTTCTAATGTTTTCAGCCGTACCGAGGATCGACCCCCGGTACGGAATGGTTTCAGAGAAGGAAACAGTGTTTGCACTTTGAAGGAAGAGTGGAGATATTGCAGTTCGGAGGATCGCTTGAAAGGTGATGTCTGCGCTCTTCTGGCAAGACTACTATTGAATATGTTTCCTGTTTTTTGGGTCACCTTACCTTAGTGGGTACCGGTCATTGTGTTAAAAAGATACACTAGTTAGTTTTACAAAACTGGATGATATTTTGTGGTGCCCATAGAAAGTCCTTGACTATGCATCAAGCCACAGAAGAGAATGGGGATAAGCTCGTTACAAACGCTCATTGAATGCGGAAAAAAAATATGTGGGTAAAACAGCTAGGTCACTGTAACTTAGAACCCATAAGACAGACACACCTGTAGCCTGATGACCTTAACACCCGTGTCCAACATAAGAGTGATCACGGCCACCTTGTGAGGTGGGATGAGCCAAAATTAATCATGAAAATTATCAATATAGACCAAAACGTATGGAGGCTACATAATTGCTCTCACTGATACCATCAAAATGAGGTCCTGAAGATTCAGTATGTCCAAATTTTTGGCTAAGAGGGTGTAGCCAGCTTAAACAGTGCCATAAGATTTAAACTGCCATACGATTTAATCAGTGCCATACGATTTAAAGTGCCATACGATTTAAACAGTGCCATACGATTTAAATAGTGCCATACGATACCTACCAACTACTCGCTGCTCTATCATTACCTTTTGCCAGTATATATGTGAAAATTTTAGTTATATAAAAGTTTCCCATAATAATTATCCTAGACTGTACATAAGTGTCTACTTATCTACCAAAAATGCATAACTTAGAATAACAAATTAATACAGATAACTGAAATTGAATATTTCATGTAAATACTTTGAGCTATAAATGTGGGTATAATTAGCCAAAATGAATTAGTCGAACAATACAAACATTTAGGTCATTATACACACTGTGATTTGCTAGAGAAAAACAAGGATCTAGAAATGAAACTAAAGGTTTAATTGAAAATTTTATTAATTTTTTTAGAAAAATTTGACACACTTGTCTATTAAAGCTTACTGAAAGCCTGACGACAACTTCCACCTCTGGAGTGGTAATAAGGTGGTGCTACAGGTATTTTAGCATTGTTGAGTTTTCAAATTATTTACAATATTCCGGGCTACCCAACTTAGAATTCATGGTTCTTCACATTTATGTAATGAATTTTGTTATACATTGTTATTATGTATTTTAATTTTATTTACCCAGTTATCAAATATCAAATAGGGATATTATTTCCTCAAGGCTCTCCAGCTCTTTATTAAAACAAAACTTTTTTTTTGTAAATCATATGGGCAATAACGTCTTAAATAAGTTGGCTACAAAAACATGAACTCACAAGATATATGTTGCCTCAGCTGAGGAACGCTCAGTAATGTTTTATTTGCGTGTTAGTTTATGCTATATGGGATATATTGTGTTAATTTATATTGTACTGCATATTGTGATGTAAAGATTATTAATTAACTGCTACGCTGGCTCTGCTGTTTTCGTTGTTACTGCTGTTGCTGATGATGGTACTGCTGTTATTACTGTTGTTGCTGCTAATACAACGGTTGCTGCAGATACAGCTGCTGCTGCTGGTATAGATGTTACTACTGCTACTGCTACTACCGCTACCGCTGTTACTGCTTCCACTGCTACTTAAGTACTTCTCTGACTTCGTGCATGATGTATTCATTCTTGACCACATGCAGCAGGAAGATAGCCACGCCTAGCACGGAGTTTACCAGCGTGAAGACTACAGCCATGGCTAGAGTACCTGACCAGGGAGCCAGAAAACCACATATGTTAATGTGTCGTCAAAAACACCCCGCCTTCATAAGGGAAATTAATACTTTGATGCCCGTGAGGGGGCTCTTGATTCGTGGAATTAAAGTTACCCCTTCCCTCCCACGGATCAATCAGTTTGACTGTCTCACACTTCCCCAGTCGGTGTGTGACTCCTGTGGATTTAGCGCTACTCATGAATATTACAATAAAGATACCTTCATAAAGTTGTGGTATAAACACCAAGATGTTTATATGTTATTGTAAAAACATCATAATCCAAGTTGCTTGTGTCACAGTATTTTTTAAAGGTCAGATGCTTATATCAGTGTATATATAATAAGAAGCCTACATCACAGCGTATATACAAGAGGCTTTCGTCACTGCATATATACCAAGATGCTTGTATCACAGTTAATATATACCATTATAAATCTTATTTAGATTCTTACCATGAATATAATATAGGAATCCTGAGAGCCAGGTAAGACATAGCAGGAGCAGGACTGTGAGAGAACTGAAGAGTCTCCTGCCTACTCCTGCTCTTCCCAAAGGCTCTACTGCTTCCTCCTCTTGGTGCTTGTTCTCTCCGGCACCTTTGCTACCACTGCCGTCCCAGGACTTTTCAAGCTTCTCTGTGTTCCCTGGTTGCGTTTCATGCAGTCTTGTGTTCACAGAACACTTGTCGGAGCCTCCTGTGTCCCCTCGTTCCTTCTCATTACCTGGCTGTCTCTCTAACTGTTTAGTGTCCCCTGTTTTTTTGTCAAACTGGGTGGTGTCTCCTGACTGCTTTTCTAACTGGTTGGTATTCTCTGCTTGTTTTTCTAACTGATTGATATATCCTGGTAGTTTCTTCAACCAACTGGTATAACCTAGCCGCCTTCCTTTCCGCCTGTTGCATTTTGCCTGCCTCTGCAACCAGCTGTTATACCCTACCTGTTTCTCCAACCAGTTGATATCTTCTGGCTGTTTCTCTACCTGATTAGTATCCCCTGGTAGCTTTTCTAACTGGTTGGTATCCCCTGGTTTCTTGTCCAACTGGTTTGTGTCTCCCGGTTGCTTTTCAAACCAGTCTGTATCCTCTGGTTGCTTCTCTAACCCACCATTGCCCCCTGGCTGCATTCCTATCCAGTCTGTGTCCCTTTGTTGATTTTCCAACTGTTTGGTGTCCTCGGGTTGCTTTTCAAACCAGTCTGTGTCCCCTGGTTGCTTTTCTGAATGGTCAGTGTCCCTTGATGACTTCTCCAAGTAGTTAGTATTCCCTTGCATCTTCTCCAGACAGTTGGTGTCTCCTGATAGATTCTGCAAGTGGTCAGTGTCACCTGGTGGACGCTCCAAGTGGCTAGTGTCTACAGATAGTCTCTCGCAGAGAGTAGTGTCCCTAGATCCTCTTCGAGTAGTGTTCCCAGAGCCTCTTGGAGCAGTGTCCCCAGAGCCTCTTCGAGCAGTGTCCCCAGAGCCTCTTCGAGTAGTGTCCCCAGAGCCTCTTAGAGTATTGTCGCCAGAGCCTCTATGACAATGATGAGTGTGTTCAGGATCCTCTCCCCACCAAGCAGCACGCATCGTCATCACTAAGGCTGAAACATTTACCTGAAAAATCCAAGAAAAACCGAAATAATCATAATTTTCACCCCACTTAACAAAAGTTTATTTTTTTTACCTGTATTCGTCAAGTAAATTTGTAATTATGGTATTTCTTTGAAAATTCTTTATTTCATTCAGATTTTGCAACAGTTTCTTAACTAGGCAAATTAATTGTATGTTTATTTTATTAGTGCATCAAACTTCTCTTCAAGACCTCAACACTTTGTAAACAAGTGTTCAGTGACTAGTGTCTGGACAGATCATGTGACCAGGTAGCCTGTCTGACCACTGGCAGTAGCAACTTCCTCTGTGATTACATGAGCGACTGGTGTACTGGACAAGTCAAGTGTGCAAAACGAGCTACTTACCAAGAGAATAACAGCAAGAGGAGCAGCAAAAGTCCATATTAAACCACGGGGCGCCAGCCAACACCTGTAATGAATGATATATATACCGTAACGCCTAGATCAACTATGGATGTATTATTCAATAACAATGTTCGTGGTTGTATGTTGTTCAGTAACACATGTAAACAGTGAGGGGTAAGACTTACGCTGTGGGTGCCCCGTAACCCACGGTGTGTGTGAGAGCCAGTGTGATGCTAACGTACACTAGTGGTACCAGGTAACCCACACACAGGTAGTACTTCACCAGGCCCATACCTGCCTTCCACACCTGTTAAATATTGACATACACGTGTTAATTTACATACAGGCAATATAGTACCTCGCCAGGCCCATACCTGCCTTCCACGTCTGCTATAGACATATGTTAGTCTACATACGGTTCCCCCACACTTACCACAATGCACTTGTCGCACTGATCTGTCATACTTACACTTACTTAATACAGATATACCTACTAATCTATACATTTAATACTTCACATTCAATAATATCTCATACACCCACCAATTGTGAATTATATATCGTAAAAATGTTATTTTTTTTTAAAATATGCGTGAAATAATTATAATTCTTAGTAAAGTGTAACGAAGAGCACTATGTTTACAGAATATATGTTCACTGTGTCTCCTGAGAGTGTAATGCATCAAGTTCTCAGACAAGCCTGGCCTAAAGCAGAGCTCAGAGAGTAGAAAAAAGTCGTAACTTATCATAGGTATATGACTGGGTTTGCAGCTGGTTTCTTTTTCACTAAATACATATGAGCACATAGGGGAGGGGGATAAGGAGCAGAGGACTTCAAAGTCCACACCTAGGCAGACGTGTCTACTTCTATCTAGATTACGGGCTATGGTGGATTATCCAGGTGTGCGAGTCAGGGATAGAAAAGCATCGAGGTCAAGCTGCATATCACGTGATTTGTTGTGATTTTCTTTAATTTTTAGTCATTATATTTCTACTGGAGCCTAGTGGTGAGAGTCGCAGCTCCCAGTACACAGGCAGGGCTTAAAATTCGCAGTTGCATGCTTAACAATTCGCAGACGGGCGAAATTTTTAACAAACATTATCTCTCAGTCCACAGCAGGATTCAAACCTACACACTCTGTATCAAAGTACACAGTACAGGGTGTGCAGGTTCGAATCCTGCTATGGATTGAGAAATAAAGTCTGTCACAGTTTCATATATATCTTCAAAGAAGGCAAGGTAGGGACGAACCTTAACAAAACTGAGGTACAAGTGCAGGGCCTCAATGGCACTCCAGGTGAAGGTAGCCAAGAAGAGATAATGGAGGAATGCCGCCACCACGGTACAGGCGACCGGGCGGTGGATGGCATCCAGGCCCCCCAGCACCAGCAGTTCAGTGCCAAGCAGACAGAGGGACATGTTGGCATGCACCACACTACTGGCTCGCCCACGGACCTCTCGGAAACCCACGAAGCACATGACACACAGCGCCAGGCTCACCACTGCCACCACGCAGCCCACTTTACTCACACACTTCATCACATAGAACAGCACCTGAAAGCGTATTATTATTATTATTATTATCAGGGATATCTTGCTACTCCTACTTACACTTTGGTCACACTTCACAGACACGCACATGCATATATATATATACATACATCTAGGTTTTTCTCCTTTTTCTAAATAGCTCTTGCTCTTTTTTATTTCTTCTATTGTCCATGGGGAAGTGGAAAAGAATCTTTCCTCCGTAAGCCATGCGTGTCGTATGAGGCGACTAAAATGCCGGGAGCAATGGGCTAGTAACCCCTTCTCCTGTATACAATTACTAAAAAAGAGAAGAAGAAAAACTTTATAAAACTGGGTTGCTTAAATGTGCGTGGATGTAGTGCGGATGACAAGAAACAGATGATTGCTGATGTTATGAATGAAAAGAAGTTGGATGTCCTGGCCCTAAGCGAAACAAAGCTGAAGGGGGTAGGAGAGTTTCAGTGGGGGGAAATAAATGGGATTAAATCTGGAGTATCTGAGAGAGTTAGAGCAAAGGAAGGGGTAGCAGTAATGTTAAATGATCAGTTATGGAAGGAGAAAAGAGAATATGAATGTGTAAATTCAAGAATTATGTGGATTAAAGTAAAGGTTGGATGCGAGAAGTGGGTCATAATAAGCGTGTATGCACCTGGAGAAGAGAGGAATGCAGAGGAGAGAGAGAGATTTTGGGAGATGTTAAGTGAATGTATAGGAGCCCTTGAACCAAGTGAGAGAGTAATTGTGGTAGGGGACTTGAATGCTAAAGTAGGAGAAACTTTTAGAGAGGGTGTGGTAGGTAAGTTTGGGGTGCCAGGTGTAAATGATAATGGGAGCCCTTTGATTGAACTTTGTATAGAAAGGGGTTTAGTTATAGGTAATACATATTTTAAGAAAAAGAGGATAAATAAGTATACACGATATGATGTAGGGCGAAATGACAGTAGTTTGTTGGATTATGTATTGGTAGATAAAAGACTGTTGAGTAGACTTCAGGATGTACATGTTTATAGAGGGGCCACAGATATATCAGATCACTTTCTAGTTGTAGCTACACTGAGAGTAAAAGGTAGATGGGATACAAGGAGAATAGAAGCATCAGGGAAGAGAGAGGTGAAGGTTTATAAACTAAAAGAGGAGGCAGTTAGGGTAAGATATAAACAGCTATTGGAGGATAGATGGGCTAATGAGAGCATAGGCAATGGGGTCGAAGAGGTATGGGGTAGGTTTAAAATGTAGTGTTAGAGTGTTCAGCAGAAGTTTGTGGTTACAGGAAAGTGGGTGCAGGAGGGAAGAGGAGCGATTGGTGGAATGATGATGTAAAGAGAGTAGTAAGGGAGAAAAAGTTAGCATATGAGAAGTTTTTACAAAGTAGAAGTGATGCAAGGAGGGAAGAGTATATGGAGAAAAAGAGAGAGGTTAAGAGAGTGGTGAAGCAATGTAAAAAGAGAGCAAATGAGAGAGTGGGTGAGATGTTATCAACAAATTTTGTTGAAAATAAGAAAAAGTTTTGGAGTGAGATTAACAAGTTAAGAAAGCCTAGAGAACAAATTGATTTGTCAGTTAAAAATAGGAGAGGAGAGTTATTAAATGGAGAGTTAGAGGTATTGGGAAGATGGAAGGAATATTTTGAGGAATTGTTAAATGTTGATGAAGATAGGGAAGCTGTGATTTCGTGTATAGGGCAAGGAGGAATAACATCTTGTAGGAGTGAGGAAGAGCCAGTTGTGAGTGTGGGGGAAGTTCGTGAGGCAGTAGGTAAAATGAAAGGGGGTAAGGCAGCCGGGATTGATGGGATAAAGATAGAAATGTTAAAAGCAGGTGGGGATATAGTTTTGGAGTGGTTGGTGCAATTATTTAATAAATGTATGGAAGAGGGTAAGGTACCTAGGGATTGGCAGAGAGCATGCATAGTTCCTTTGTATAAAGGCAAAGGGGATAAAAGAGAGTGCAAAAATTATAGGGGGATAAGTCTGTTGAGTGTACCTGGTAAAGTGTATGGTAGAGTTATAATTGAAAGAATTAAGAGTAAGACGGAGAATAGGATAGCAGATGAACAAGGAGGCTTTAGGAAAGGTAGGGGGTGTGTGGACCAGGTGTTTACAGTGAAACATATAAGTGAACAGTATTTAGATAAGGCTAAAGAGGTCTTTGTGGCATTTATGGATTTGGAAAAGGCGTATGACAGGGTGGATAGGGGGGCAATGTGGCAGATGTTGCAAGTGTATGGTGTAGGAGGTAGGTTACTGAAAGCAGTGAAGAGTTTTTACGAGGATAGTGAGGCTCAAGTTAGAGTATGTAGGAAAGAGGGAAATTTTTTCCCAGTAAAAGTAGGCCTTAGACAAGGATGTGTGATGTCACCGTGGTTGTTTAATATATTTATAGATGGGGTTGTAAGAGAAGTAAATGCGAGGGTCTTGGCAAGAGGCGTGGAGTTAAAAGATAAAGAATCACACACAAAGTGGGAGTTGTCACAGCTGCTCTTTGCTGATGACACTGTGCTCTTGGGAGATTCTGAAGAGAAGTTGCAGAGATTGGTGGATGAATTTGGTAGGGTGTGCAAAAGAAGAAAATTAAAGGTGAATACAGGAAAGAGTAAGGTTATGAGGATAACAAAAAGATTAGGTGATGAAAGATTGAATATCAGATTGGAGGGAGAGAGTATGGAGGAGGTGAACGTATTCAGATATTTGGGAGTGGACGTGTCAGCGGATGGGTCTATGAAAGATGAGGTGAATCATAGAATTGATGAGGGAAAAAGAGTGAGTGGTGCACTTAGGAGTCTGTGGAGACAAAGAACTTTGTCCTTGGAGGCAAAGAGGGGAATGTATGAGAGTATAGTTTTACCAACGCTCTTATATGGGTGTGAAGCGTGGGTGATGAATGTTGCAGCGAGGAGAAGGCTGGAGGCAGTGGAGATGTCATGTCTGAGGGCAATGTGTGGTGTGAATATAATGCAGAGAATTCGTAGTTTGGAAGTTAGGAGGAGGTGCGGGATTACCAAAACTGTTGTCCAGAGGGCTGAGGAAGGGTTGTTGAGGTGGTTCGGACATGTAGAGAGAATGGAGCGAAACAGAATGACTTCAAGAGTGTATCAGTCTGTAGTGGAAGGAAGGCGGGGTAGGGGTCGGCCTAGGAAGGGTTGGAGGGAGGGGGTAAAGGAGGTTTTGTGTGCGAGGGGCTTGGACTTCCAGCAGGCATGCGTGAGCGTGTTTGATAGGAGTGAATGGAGACAAATGGTTTTTAATACTTGACGTGCTGTTGGAGTGTGAGCAAAGTAACATTTATGAAGGGATTCAGGGAAACCGGCAGGCCGGACTTGAGTTCTGGAGATGGGAAGTACAGTGCCTGCACTCTGAAGGAGGGGTGTTAATGTTGCAGTTTAAAAACTGTAGTGTAAAGCACCCTTCTGGCAAGACAGTGATGGAGTGAATGATGGTGAAAGTTTTTCTTTTTCGGGCCACCCTGCCTTGGTGGGAATCGGCCGGTGTGATAATAAAAAAAAAAAAAAAATATTATTATTATTATTATTATTATTTGTAGTAGTAATAGTACTAGTAACGTAGAAGTAATAGTAGCAGTACAGTAGCTGTGACTCGACCCCTGCAACCACATAGAGGTGAGTGGTGGTGGTGGTATTAATAGTAGTAATAGTAGTTGTATTGATAATAGTAGCCACAGTGGCAGCAACACTAGCCACCGTGACACCGCGGCACTTACACTGGTTGTGTCAATTACATCGTTGACGTCTGTGATGAGTGCCAGGTTGGTGAGATGGTCACAGTGGCACACTGAGTAGTTAGCAGAGGTGTGTGCCAGGCGGCACCCATGGGTGGCCCAAGAACTGGAGACCTCGTCCCACCACACACAGGTGGGCACACCCAGAGCAAAGGTGTCGCCACTGTACACATGCTCCAGCTGCACCTCCACCACCTCACCGAGCGCTGAAATACAACACATAAGAACATAAGAAAGAAGAAACACTGCAACAGGCCTACTGACTCATGCGGAGCAGGTCCATGTCCCCCCCCCCCCGGATTAGACCAATGAATATAACAAACGTAACCTACAGTGGTCATACATAAATGCAACACATATGTATGGATATACACAAACTACAATATAGAGATATGTTATAGCACTGCAGATATGTATAGATTACGTGTCATATATACATTAGTTATACATACATCACTTATACATGTAATGCAGCAGTTATAAGAACATAAGAACATAAGAACGAAGGAACACTGCAGAAGGCCTACTGGCCCATGCGAGGCAGGTCCAAGTCTCCTACCGGCTTAAGCCAATGCACCCAACCTAGTCAGGTCAGGTCACATTGACTTAATGGAGGAACACGGCAACCGACCTGGTAGCACAAGCTATCAGGTCCAGCTCACACCCACCCACATCCACTCATGTATTTATCCAACCTATTTTTAAAGCTACACAATGTTCTGGCAGTAATACAAACAATACATCAGACATACATCAGTTATGCATCAGATTACATCAGTTATACATCTTACGCATAATACATCAGTATACATAGTCTGTGAATAGAAACATACCAGCGTGCCAGGCCTTGTCTCCCACTGTGGCACCGATGATGGCACTGTTGACCTGACCCTTGGCTGGGAGGTCACGCTCAGCCTTGACCTGCTTCGGGTCACTGCAATGACAGGCCAAAGAATAAGAGAAAACGTCATAAAACTTAAATTTTCAGAAAATTGAAATGTCAGATAACTAAGTGAAATTTTTTTAGAAAATTTGGTGGAAATGTCAGAAAATTTAGTGGAAATGTTAGAAAATTTAGTGGAAGTGTCAAAAAATTAAGTAACAATTGTAGAAATGAGGATATCAAGTACAGTATTTAATTAAAGGTTCATTAGCTACGGCAGCTTCAAATGATTCATTCCAGCAGTGCTGGAATTACTATTACCTGGGAAAAGAGGTATTGAAGGACTCACCAGGGGAGGGTGTTGGAGGTACAGTGGAGGTCGGTGAAGGAGAAGAAGACGACCTTCACAGTGGTGAGAGGTTGCAGGTAGCCATCGTAGAAGTGGTGAGGTAGAGTGATGGTGGTGAGGTTGAAGTGAGGGTGAGTGTAGGAACGACCACTCTCCTTCATGAAGTATGCTGTAGGCTGCTGTATAACCTTCACCTCTGTAAACACACATAAATGTGCTCTCCAAAGAGGAAACTAAACGACTTTTCAGTCGATCCTAGACTGATGTTTTTGCCGGTTAATGTAAGATGACCGACAGAAAGAGTCTTCTAAATGCTATTTCCAATTTGTAAGTCAGTATACCTCTTGGGTTATTAACGCTACTGGGTTATTAATGCTATAAATCTTAAGAATTTCTTAAACAGTTACAAAATCATTATTATTATTATTATATCCATGAGGATGCGGTAAGTACGTAGGGGGTCAAAATGGGTTAGATTACATTTGCAAAACGTAAAAACTTTTATTACATAAAGTAATTGTTAATAAAGACACAGTACTTTTACAAAAGCTGATACAGACAAATGATGAGAAAGAAAAGACAAAGTTTATAGAACACCTCTATACAGAGCTGTATGTAGAGCTTTGTCAAGTTAGGGAGAAATGTTGCCCCAATAAAAGCGTGTCTTGCAGACGTGTGTCTGTTATCGGCAGTACGACATTTCGACCCACTCGTAAGTGGTTAAGGAGGCAGCCAAAGTGCATGAGGTTTACTCACGTAGTTTCTGTTGTGTGAAGGTCTTGGTGGGAGCCTTCTGAAGGTAGGCAAGGGAGACGGCAGCAGAAGTGAGGGAGGTCTGCAGGAGTGAGGAGGTGGTTGCCCGCTGCTCAGGGGCCAGGCCCCACCATAGACCAGGCACAGAGAACATAGTGTTCACAGCCACCATCATCCCCTCCATGAACACCTAGAACAAGACCAAGTTGTGCAGGGATGACAAAATACAGAACAAATCCAGATAAGTGCAGCCGCCTCAGAACAGAGAAAATATATACACACAATACACGCATACAATCCTCTCCAGATGAAGTATTGAACACATGCGCAACATCTGGGTATTTTTTTTTTTTTTGTAAACGCTTCGCCATACAATGGATTTATCAATATAATGCAAGAACAGAATGTGAAGAATGTAGAATTATATACATAAGATGAGGTAATCAGTTCCTCAGTCTTGGAGTTGGTGAAGAGCACTGTGGTCTTCAAGACTACTCTGCTCTTCACTAACTCCAAGAGAGAAATAGTATGGTGATACCGACAAGATGTGGTTTCGCCACTCTTGGCGAAACGTTTCCTATAATAAATGTCCTGAACTGTACATAGGTGTCTTTTTCCACACTAACTCCAAGGCTGATGGACTGATCACCTCATATTTTGTATATACTTCTACATTCTTCACATTATTCCTTGTGTTGTATTGACAGAGCCACTGGATGGCGGAACGTCTACAAAAAAAGATACTCAGATGTTGCACACGCGTTTAATTCTTCATACATACACATACCCGAGCAAGGTTGTATGCTCCTGACAGCGTGGTAAGGTTGTGTAAGTCTTGGTTGTGTTTATCTTGTAGTGTTGCGAGGATGTGGACGAGGGTGAGGAGGTCTCCCGGAGCCAGAGTGACATCTTGGAGACTGCTGGACATGCTCATCAAGATCTGCGCAGCTGTCACGTTATCTCCGTCATCCAGTGCCTCCCTCCACCCAGAGAAGATCACCGCTTTGCACTGGCTGTGGGAAACATAACATAGGAACCGTAATAACAGGATTGAAAACAAACCACGGGACGGGTGGGGTTTGAAACCAAGACGAGTGAATCGTAAAACTCCTGGTCTGGTGTTTTACGTCTCACTCGCCATGGGTTGAAACCCCACCCTTCCATGGTTTGTTTAATAAAGTAACACTCGGCCTACTTGGTCATGCTAGGCTGGTCTACTAGACCATGCTAGGTTGGTCTACTAGACCATGCTAGGCTGGCCTATTGGACCATGCTAGGGTGGTCTACTAGACCGTCCTAGGCTGGCCTACTGAGCAATGCTAGGCTGGTCTATTAGACCATGCTAGGTTGGTCTACTGGACCACGCTAGGCTGGTCTACTAGACCATGCTAGGCTGGTCTGCTACACCATGCTAGGCTGGTCTACTGGACCATGCTAGGCTGGTTTACTGGACCATCCTAGGCTGGCCTACTGGGCAATGTTAGGCTGGTCTACTAGACCATGCTAGGCTGGTCTACTAGACCATGCTAGGCTGGTCTACTAGACCATGCTAGGCAGGTCTACTAGACCATGCTAGGCTGGTCTACAAGACCATGCTAGACTGGCTACTAGACCATGCTAGGTTGGTCTACTAGACCATGCTAGGCTGGTCTACAAGACCATGCTAGGTTGGTCTACTAGACCATGCTAGGCTGGTCTACAAGACCATGCTAGATTGGCTACTAGACCATGCTAGGTTGGTCTACTAGACCATGCTAGGCTGGTCTACAAGACCATGCTAGGCTGGTCTACAAGACCATGCTAGGCTGGTCTACTAGACCATGCTAGGTTGGTCTACAAGACCATGCTAGGCTGGTCTACTAGACCATGCTAGGCTGGTCTACAAGACCATGCTAGGCTGGTCTACAAGACCATGCTAGGCTGGTCTACAAGACCATGCTAGGCTGGTCTACAAGACCATGCTAGGCTGGTCTACTAGACCATGCTAGGCTGGTCTACAAGACCATGCTAGGCTGGTCTACTAGACCATGCTCATCCTCCCGGGAGATCAGATACTCATTCTCACGAGAGATCAGATATTCTTGCTCACAGACCAGGTGAGTCGTGACTCCTCTGACATGAACCCCTACTGATTGTTACTTGTTACTCACACTTGTGAGTGTTCCTGTGTGTCCTTTTATCTGGACTCATGAACCTGGGTGGTTCGCCAGGCGTTGACTACTTCGTTAATATGGACTATTACAGCATATCAACACCAACACCTGTTCACTACCAATCAAGAATATTTTAATCACAAATATAGGCCTATTGGGATTAAATTCTATATGTATGTCAACACTTGTTAGTAGTTAAATATGGTGTGTTTATACTCTTATTGTTTTATATGTATTCTCTTTATTTTTCGTTTTTTTTTATTTACATGAAGAGGAAATATTGCGTTATTGCCTAATAATAATAATAATAATAATAATAATAATAATAATAATAATAATACTGTACATTACCTGAGAATGGGTGTCCTCTCCCAGGTGGCATCTGGTCGACAGGTCCAGGTGGCAGTGCCGTTGGCACCAGGTGGGCAGGGTATTGGCAGTGCCTGGCCTGCTGGTGTCTCCCTCAGCCACCAGCTAGACGACCACCTGTCGTCCCCAGGGTAGTGTCTCTCCCCGCGTGGACACGACCTCCCTAATAAACGACAAGACGACTCTTTGTGGGAAACCCTTATATCGGGCCTTCACCACCACTCTCACAGTTTCATATATATATATATATATGTGAATGTGTGTGTGTATGTGTGTGTGTGTGTGTGTGTGTGTGTGTGTGTGTGTGTGTGTGTGTGTGTGTGTGTGTGTACTTACCTATTTGTGGTTGCAGGGGTCGATTTGCAGCTCCTGGCCCCGCCTCTTTGTTGAAACGTGGACCGACCTTGCCATTATTCAAGCCTGGAATCTTTTGATCCGTAGTCACACGCGTTGTCCATTGCGTTGTGCGTGTGTAAGTTTATTTATGAACATGTACACAAATACAATTATCATATATAGTAACATATGTGCAAACTACCTAGGATAACCCAAGAAAAGTCAGACAAAAGTGACATTTCCATTGTGGTCCTTGCAATGTCTTATTATTTAAAGCCTAGCTGTAAGATACAGTAGAAATCAGTCTTGATTATAGCCTTAAAATTTAAAACAGCTAAGTAAATCAACTGTGCGAACATCAGTTACGGTAAAACGAGATATAAACAGAATCAAGTGAACTGAGTTATTTACATGAACAATAAATAGAGAGGATCAACTTTCAATAATAGGTGCACCTTTGTTAACTGCAAGAAATTACTCTGCTCTCTTTCTGTAGCTTCATTCATTAGGTATCTTTCATCTCACCTTTTTCAGTGATGACGAGTCTCTTAGCCTGGCGCTGAGGTTTGTGTGTGTTGCAGGGGTGACTCGCGTGATCTGTAGAAGCAAAAACAATTAAATTAAGCTCAAGAACTCACCGCTTTGCGTAATTTCTTGGAAACAAACTTCTTCAAAACATCAGTAAATTGTAAGTTATTGAGAACATCTCTGGAGGCCCTCCAGCTGGCGGAGCCCCCCGGACTGCAGCCCCTACAGTCCATGCCTTAATCTGGCCCTGGGCTCATGTAGCATTTACAACCTGGTGAACTATGACTAGTGACTATTATACCTGGTGACCATTAATAGAACTAACACCTGACCAAGCAAGGCCATAAGTAGAGTATAAATACATTCACACAAGCAGTGATTCGACCCTAGGCAGTGTGTGGGCACGCACTGACCTTCAAGAATAGTGAGGATGGTGAGGTTGGCATCACGAGCGTACTGACTCACTGTACGACCTGAAACATTAATATTCTCCATTACAAGCAAATAAAAATAGTCACAAAGGGTCGGTTTTATTTTAATAAGTGACTTCGAAAATAATAATACAGGTTCAGAAAGTATTAGATAAAATCTCCTTTAGGATATTCTGGAAATTATATATATTAACCTAAATAAAGCGATGTCACTATCAGGGAGTCTCAGGTCTGGCTGGACACAACAACCTCATGACTGACCTTGACTATCAGGGAGTCTCAGGTCTGGACACAACAACCTCATGACTGACCTTGATTATCAGGGAGTCTCAGGTCTGGCTGGACACAACAACCTCATGACTGACCTTGACTATCAGGGAGTCTCAGGTCTGGACACAACAACCTCATGACTGACCTTGATTATCAGGGAGTCTCAGGTCTGGCTGACACAACCTCATCACTGACCTTGACTATCAGGGAGTCTCAGGTCTGGCTGGACACAACAACCTCATGACTGACCTTGACTATCAGGGAGTCTCAGGTCTGGACACAACAACCTCATGACTGACCTTGATTATCAGGGAGTCTCAGGTCTGGCTGGACACAACAACCTCATGACTGACCTTGACTATCAGGGAGTCTCAGGTCTGGACACAACAACCTCATGACTGACCTTGATTATCAGGGAGTCTCAGGTCTGGCTGACACAACCTCATCACTGACCTTGACTATCAGGGAGTCTCAGGTCTGGCTGGACACAACAACCTCATGACTGACCTTGACTATCAGGGAGTCTCAGGTCTGGACAGAAAGGCAGTAGTTCCTCCACCGCCTCCTCCATGTTCTTTATCGTCGCCAAGAAAATTGGTGTACTTCCTGCCCCAAAAAGAATAAGATAAGATAAGATTTCGTTCGGATTTTTAACCCCGGAGGGGCTATATTATATAAGCCAAGACATCAATATATCTAGGTATTCTTGTATTTCTATCTCTCATCTTCCTATCTGCACCAGCTGGAATACATTCATCTCAGACCTGTCGTACACCAGCTGGAATACATTCATCTCAGACCTGTCGTACACCAGCTGGAATACACTCATCTCAGACCTGTCATACACCAGCTGGAATACATTCATCTCAGACCTGTCGTACACCAGCTGGAATACACTCATCTCAGACCTGTCATACACCAGCTGGAATACACTCATCTCAGACCTGTCATACACCAGCTGGAATACATTCATCTCAGACCTGTCGTACACCAGCTGGAATACACTCATCTCAGACCTGTCATACACCAGCTGGAATACACTCATCTCAGACCTGTCGTACACCAGCTGGAATACACTCATCTCAGACCTGTCATACACCAGCTGGAATACACTCATCTCAGACTTGTCATACACTCACCTCTCCTGTCCTGGGCGTCGACCTGGGCACCATGGCTCAGGAGCTGGAGTATGACTCGTGTACGACCCTTCCAGGTAGCCAGGTGCAGGGGCGTCTGACCTGCAAGATTATTATTATTATTATTATTATTATTATTATTATTATTATTATTATTATTATTATTATTATTATTATTACTATTATTATTAAACACAAATAACCCGCACATAAAAGAGAGAAGCTTACGACGACGTTTCGGTCCGACTTGGACCATTGACCATTGTCAATGGTCCAAGTCGGACCGAAACGTCGTCGTAAGCTTCTCTCTTTTATGTGCGGGTTATTTGTGTATCGTTCCAGTCACGGTATTGTGCCTTTTTGTTATTTATTATTAAAACCCGTTGCATAAAAATCTGAACTTTCGTACAAAACGGGGTAGTGTTAAGGGGTAACTCACCATTTATGTCTGTGGCTTCCAAGTTGGCACCAGCGTCCAGGAGGGTGGCTACGGCCGCCTCGTGACCGTTGTACGCTGCTAGATGGAGCGCTGTCTTGCCTGCACCATCGAAATATTCATCATTGTCACAAATGTCAGTTCTGATAGCACTATAATAAACAGCGGGGGACAGCAACGCTGTGGTAATGAAAAGATGAAGAAGAAGAAGAAAGATGGTGGAAGAAGTAGTGTGGCTTATTTTCACTGGGGTCCAGTTGAACCTCTTCCCCAGGATGCTACCTACAATAGGCACCTAACAAGGTGCCTACAGCTTGCTAAGTGAACAGCAGCAATGAGTACATTGAAACATATTCAGTGTTTCCACTCGTGCAAGGACTGAGCCCAGGTCCTTCAGATGTGAGCCAGAGACGCTAACACAATATAGTATTATGCTGAACAAAGTGTAATAGGAGGGATGATGAAAGCACCGTACCTACCGTAGTTGGGCTCAGGAGAGTCGAGGGTAGCATTATAATCCAGTAGGAGTTTGATTAGCTCAGTCTGCCCCATGTGTGCTGCGCTGTGTAGAGCAGTCCACCCTGAAAACATTATAACATCAATAAAAAAAATCAGATTAGGGTCATTCAAGTGACTAATGTTTTTAACTTTCTAAATTATACATTATTACGTAAGTTTTTATTCAGGTTTTGAAGACAAACATAATTTTGTCAGTGTTCTTAAGGGCAAAAAGAATAAAATGCACAGAATGTATATATGCTGAAGAGGATCGAAATATACATATCAATTAATCTTCTCAGTTTCTGTCTCCATGTGGGTTATTGTTGAGCATTGATAAGTGTTCATTACACTTTAGTTATCCATAGGCTGAAACTTTGCTTTAATAGTTTAGGGATAAAACTTCTCTTGTCTGGTGGTGAAAAGGTTATCTGCAGCCTTACTGACTCATAGTTGACAGGCTTTAGACCCCATTAACCTTGTGGGACAGCAGGTACTCCCCTGCACCACCACCTGACTCACCTATAGTGTCAGTAGCATGGACATCTTCACCCCTGGTCAGCAGGTACTCCCCTGCACCACCACCTGACTCAGGTATAGTGCCAGTAGCATGGACATCTTCACCCCTGGTCAGCAGGTACTCCCCTGCACCACCACCTGACTCACCTATAGTGTCAGTAGCATGGACATCTTCACCCCTGGTCAGCAGGTACTCCCCTGCACCATTACCTGACTCACCTATAGTGTCAGTAGCATGGACATCTTCACCCCTGATCAGCAGGTACTCCCCTGCACCACCACCTGACTCACCTATAGTGTCAGTAGCATGGACATCTTCACCCCTGGTCAGCAGGTACTCCCCTGCACCACCACCTGACTCACCTATAGTGTCAGTAGCATGGACATCTTCACCCCTGGTCAGCAGGTACTCCCCTGCACCATCACCTGACTCACCTATAGTGTCAGTAGCATGGACATCTTCACCCTTGGTCAGCAGGTACTCCCCTGCACCACCACCTGACTCACCTATAGTGTCGATAGCATGGACATCTTCACCCCTGGCCAGCAGGGTGACAGCACGGCTCAGGTAACCCAGCTTCACGGCATCAATCACATTCATCACTGTCAGAAACCAACGTTAGAATTATCACATTTATCCTGAGAAGACTCGCTAATTGTAAAAACAAATTACTGCTACTGTAACTGAAGCCAGTAAGATAAGATAAGATAAGATTTCGTTCGGATTTTTAACCCCGGAGGGTTAGCCACCCAGGATAACCCAAGAAAGTCAGTGCGTCATCGAGGACTGTCTAACTTATTTCCATTGGGGTCCTTAATCTTGTCCCCCAGGATGCGACCCACACCAGTCGACTAACACCCAGGTACCTATTTGCTGCTAGGTGAACAGGACAACAGGTGTAAGGAAACGTGTCGGAATGTTTCCACCCGCCGGGAATCGAACCCGGGCCCTCCGTGTGTGAAGCGGGAGCTTTAGCCACCAGGCCACCGGGCCACCGGAATTGTATTGATCCTTGTGGTACCCCGCTGTTCATATTGGAGCCAGCACTGAACCTAGTGGCATCCCACTGTTCATAGTGGAGCCAGTACTGATTTTTGTGGTACCCCGTTGTTCATAGTGGAGTCAGCACTGATCCTTATGGCACCCCGCTGTTCATGTTGATGTTGGAGCCATCACTAATCCTTGTGGCACCCTGCTGTTCATAGTGGAGTCAGCACTGACCCTTATGGCACCCCGCTGGAGATCTCGGCTTGATCTCCTTATAACAATATTTACAGCCTGTGAGGGCCAGACAGCACCTGAGAAATGAGATTCAATCAGGTTTGACCCGAGGAAAGAGCAGCATCAAGGTAACTCCCGCTCAAGGATATTTTTCCTTTTATCAATACTGAGATATTCCTCCCAAGAATCTCTTCTCCACTGCCATAGATGTATATTCTTCGTTTGTTTGGTATTCTGAGAATTATTCATTAAAATTCTAATAAATTACGTCCGCAAATCTATTTCTTTCTGGTGTAAGAATTGCTGTATAAGAACATCAGAAAGAAGGAGCACTACAGAAGAGATACTGGCCTATGCTAGGCAGGTCCAAGTCATTTACTGGCCCAAGCTAGTCAGGTTCAGGTATGACTCATAAGGGTTTAGCACTTATAAAATAATAATAATAATAAGAATAAGTATAAGAATATAAAAGAATGTATTTGTAATAGAGGAATTTCCTGGGCTCAAAAGCGGAAGAGTTTTTGCTAGTTGACAGGTTGTTACTGCGCAGGTGTGACGCAAGCACTGTGAGGGGTATGTCGCATACACTGTGAGGGGTATGTTGCATACACTGTGAGGGGTATGTCGCATACACTGTGAGGGGTATGTCATATACACTGTGAGGGGTATGTCGCATACACTGAGGGGTATGTTGCATACACTGAGGGGTATGTCGCATACACTGTGAGGGGTATGTCGCATACACTGTGAGGGGTATGTCGCATACACTGTGAGGGGTATGTCGCATACACTGTGAGTGGTATGTCGCATACACTGTGAGGGGTATGTCGCATACACTGTGAGGGGTATGTCGCATACACTGTGATGGGTATGTCGCATACACTGTGAGGGGTATGTCGCATACACTGTGAGGGTATGTCGCATACACTGTGAGGGGTATGTCGCATACACTGTGAGGGGTATGTCGCATACACTGTGAGGGGTATGTCGCATACACTGTGAGGGGTATGTCGCATACACTGTGAGGGGTATGTCGCATACACTGTGAGGGGTATGTCGCATACACTGTGAGGGGTATGTCGCATACACTGTGAAGGGTATGTCGCATACACTGAGGGGTATGTCGCATACACTGTGAGGGGTATGTCGCATACACTGTGAGGGGTATGTCGCATACACTGTGAGGGATATGTCGCATACACTGTGAGGGTTATGTCGCATACACTGTGAGGGTTATGTCGCATACACTGTGAGGGGTATGTCGCATACACTGTGAGGGTTATGTCACATACATTGTGAGGGGTATGTCGCATACACTGTGAGGGGTATGTCGCATACACTGTGAGGGTTATGTCGCATACACTGAGGGGTATGTCGCATACACTGTGAGGGGTATGTCGTATACACTGTGAGGGGTATGTCGCATACACTGTGAGGGGTATGTCGCATACACTGTGAGGGTTATGTCGCATACACTGTGAGGGTTATGTCGCATACACTGAGGGTTATGTCGCATACACTGTGATGGGTATGTCGCATACACTGTGAGGGGTATGTCGCATACACAGTGAGGGTTATGTTGCATACACTGTGAGGGGTATGTCGCATACACAGTGAGGGTTATGTCGCATACACTGTGAGGGGTATGTCGCATACACTGTGAGGGGTATGTCGCATACACTGTGAGGGGTATGTCGCATACACTGTGAGGGGTATGTCGCATACACTGTGAGGGTTATGTCGCATACACTGTGAGGGGTATGTCGCATACACTGTGAGGGGTATGTCGCATACACTGTGAGGGGTATGTCGCATATACTGTGAGGGGTATGTCGTATACACTGTGAGGGGTATGTCGCATACACTGTGAGGGGTATGTCGCATACACTGAGGGGTATGTCGCATACACTGTGAGGGGTATGTCGCATACACTGTGAGGGGTATGTCGCATACACTCTGAGGGGTATGTCGCATGCACTGTGAGGGGTATGTCGCATACACTGTGAAGGGTATGTCGCATACACTGTGAGGGGTCTGTCGCATACACTGTGAAGGGTATGCCGCATACACTGTGAGGGGTATGTCGCATACACTATGAAGGGTATGTCGCATACACTGTGAGGGGTATGTCGCATACACTGTGAGGGGTATGTCGCATACACTGTGAGGGGTACGTCGCATACACTGTGAAGGGTATGTCGCATGCACTGTGAGGGGTATGTCGCATACACTGTGAGGGGTATGTCTCATACACTGTGAGGGGTATGTCGCACACACTGTGAGGGGTATGTCGCATACACTGTGAGGGGTATGTCGCATACACTGTGAGGGGTATGTCGCATACACTGTGAGGGGTATGTCACATACACTGTGAGGGGTATGTGGCATACACTGTGAGGGGTATGTTGCACACACTGTGAGGGGTATGTCGCATACACTGTGAGGGGTATGTCGCATACACTGTGAGGGGTATGTCGCATACACTGTGAGGGGTATGTCGCATACACTGTGAGGGGTATGTCGCATACACTGTGAGGGGTATGTCGCATACACTGTGAGGGGTATGTCGCATACACTGTGAGCAGTATGTCGCATAAACTGTGAGGGGTATGTCGCATACACTATGAAGGGTATGTCGCATGCACTGTGAGGGGTATGTCGCATACACTGTAAGGGGTATGTCGCATACACTGTGAGGGGTATGTCGCATACACTATGAAGGGTATGTTGCATACACTGTGAGGGGTATGTCGCATACACTGTGAGGGGTATGTCGCATACACTGTGAGGGGTATGTCGCATACACTGTGAGGGGTATGTCGCATACACTGTGAGGGGTATGTCGCATACACTGAGGGGTATGTCGCATACACTGTGAGGGGTATGTCGCATACACTCTGAGGGGTATGTCGCATACACTGAGGGGTATGTCGCATGCACTGTGAGGGGTATGTCGCATACACTGTGAAGGGTATGTCGCATACACTGTGAGGGGTCTGTCGCATACACTGTGAAGGGTATGTCGCATACACTGTGAGGGGTATGTCGCATACACTATGAAGGGTATGTCGCATACACTGTGAGGGGTCTGTCGCATACACTATGAAGGGTATGTCGCATACACTGTGAGGGGTATGTCGAATACACTATGAAGGGTATGTCGCATACACTCTGAGGGGTATGTCGCATACACTGTGAGGGGTATGTCGCATACACTGTGAGGGGTATGTCGCATACACTGTGAGGGGTATGTCGCATACACTGTGAGGGGTATGTCGCATACACTGAGGGGTATGTCGCATACACTGTGAGGGGTATGTCGCATATACTGTGAGGGGTATGTCGCACACACTGTGAGGGGTATGTCGCATACACTGTGAGGGGTATGTCACATACACTGTGAGGGGTATGTCGCATACACTGTGAGGGGTATGTCGCATACACTGTGAGGGGTATGTTGCACACACTGTGAGGGGTATGTCGCATACACTGATGGGTATGTCGCATACACTGTGAGGGGTATGTCGCATACACTGAGGGGTATGTCGCATACACTGTGAGGGGTATGTCGCATACACTATGAAGGGTATGTCGCATACACTGTGAAGGGTATGTCGCATACACTGTGAGGGGTATGTCGCATACACTGTGAAGGGTATGTCGCATACACTGTGAGGGGTATGTCGCATACACTATGAGGGGTATGTCGCATACACAGTGAAGGGTATGTCACATACACTGTGAGGGATATGTCGCATACACTGTGAGAGGTATGTCGCATACACTGTGAAGGGTATGTGCATACACTGTGAGGGGTATGTCGCATACACTGTGAAGGGTATGTCGCATACACACTGTGAGGGGTATGTCGCACACACTGTGAGGGGTATGTCGCATACACTGTGAGGGGTATGTCGCATACACTGTGAGGGGTATGTCGCATACACTGTGAGGGGTATGTTGCATACACTGTGAAGAGTATGTCGCATACACTGTGAGGGGTATGTCGCATGCACTTTGAGGGGTATGTCGCATACACTGTGAGGGGTATGTCGCATACACTGTGAGGGGTATGTCGCATACACTGTGAGGGGTATGTCGCATACACTGTGAGGGGTATGTCGCATACACACTGTGAGGGGTATGTCGTATACACACTGTGAGGGGTATGCCGCATACACACTGTGAAGGGTATGTCGCATACATTGTGAAGGGTATGTCGCATACACACTGTGAGGAGTATGTCACATACACTGTGAGGGGTATGTCGCATACACTGTGAGGGGTATGTCGCATACACTGTGAGGGGCATGTCGCATACACTGTGAGGGGTATGTTGCATACACTGTGAGGGGTATGTCGCATACACTGTGAGGGGTATGTCGCATACACACTGTGAGGGGTATATCGCATACACACTGAGGGGTATGTCGCATACACACTGTGAAGGGTATGTCGCATACATTGTGAAGGGTATGTCGCATACACACTGTGAGGGGTATGTCGCATACACTGTGGATGGTATGTCGCATACACACTGTGAGGGGTATGTTGCATACACACTGTGAGGGGTATGTCGCGTACACACTGTGAGGGGTATGTCGCATATATACTGTGAGGGGTATGTCGCATACACACTGTGAGGATTATGTCGCGTATACACATTGTGAGGGGTATGTCGCATACACATTGTGAGGGGTATGTCGCATATACACTGTGAGGGGTATGTCGCATACACATTGTGAGGGGTATGTCGCATATACACTGTTAGGAGTATGTCGCATACACATTGTGAGGGGTATGTTGCATATACACTGTGAGGGGTATGTCGCATACACATTGTGAGGGGTATGTCGCATACACACTGTGAGGGGTATGTCGCATACACACTGTGAAGGGTATGTCGCATACGTTGTGAAGGGTATGTCGCATACACACTGTGAGGGGTATGTCGCATACACTGTGAAGGGTATGTCGCATACACACTGTGAGGGGTATGTCGCATACACACTGTGAGGGGTATGTCGCATATACACTGTGAGGGGTATGTCGCATACACATTGTGAGGGGTATGTCGCATATACACTGTGAGGGGTATGTCGCATACACATTGTGAGGGGTATGTCGCATATACACTGTGAGGGGTATGTCGCATACACATTGTGAGGGGTATGCCGCATACTGTGAGACGTATGCGTCTCTGTATAATCACTTAAGAGATTATTCTTGATTGGTGAACAGGTTACATACAGCCTTAATAATCCTCGTGTAGTTGATAGGTTTTAACCCCATTAACCAGGAATGTATATGTTAGGTGGATGTGTGTATGTTAGGTGGGTGTATGCAGGTGTTGCACGAATATTTGCCTGCAGGTGTGTAAAGTGGGTGTATGTTGCACTAGTGTATGTCTGCAGATATATATATATATATCCACTGACATGTTTTAATTTCTACAAGCAAAGTGATTGAAGTCTTCTACAAGCAGTTCATTATACATATGTATGTATATATATATATATATATATATATATATATATATAATATATATATATATATATATATATATATATATATATATATATGTGTGTGTGTGTGTGTGTGTGTGTGTGTGTGTGTGTGTGTGTGTATATATATGACCTCGTAGCTTATGATAGAACAAGCAGGAAGTTGGGGGGGTGTATTGTGGAGGAGAGGAGTGCTGCAAGGAGGGGATGGGGGAGTATTGCAAGAGAGGAACAGAGAGGGGGGAGTATTGCAAGGGGCTACTCTGAGGAACAAGAAAACCAGCACTTACCTCCATGAGCCTGAGGGCACAACAAGGACACCAGCAGCACCACGTCCATCCTCAACACGCAGCAGTTCATGTACGTCCAAATCTGCACGATAACGGATTTTACACACACACACACGTCCACACACTGCAGTTAGGTTTACTGGTGGATCTTCACCACCACCACCACCACCACCATCACCAGTATCACCATCACCACTATCATCATCACTAGCAACACCTGCACAGGGAAACATATTAGTCAAGACACTTGCTTTCTCTGTTTTAGATAAAAGAATACAAGTGCAGCTAATGTGATATTTTACTGTGTCAACCTAACAGCTTGATAAAGCTCCTGGAGAGCGAAACGTTGCCACAATAGAATGCCACATTAGTTGCACTTGTGTCCTTTTACCTTACACAATCGTCAGTAATTCTACCAACATTATTGCTTTCTTTGTGTTTTGAAATACATTAAAAAATACATGTATTTTGGTCGCTGCGCGATCCGAGAAATATATCCCCTATATCTCATAAAACCAGCCCTCTCGAATCCTGGAAAAATTGTCACAGGAAAATAGCCACAGAAGAAAAGTCACAGGAGAAAAAGTAACAATACAAACCTAACGTAACAGAGAACACTGTAATGTTGGATATTATGTAAGATGTCAATCTCTACATATTATGTTTTGTCAATAAATAACTGCCTTAAATGTTTTTGTTTCATTGTCTTACTTTGCTTAAGAAATTGAATAAAACGTGATTTTTTTACGTGTTCTGCCATCATATATAAATTGTCTTGTCAATGTGTACAAGTTGGTAGGTGTAAGGTTTGTCAGGAATGGCCAGAGCTTGTTACCACCTACAGCTGACAAGACTGCCATTCCGACGAGCCCTCCCTAGGGCGGGGATGATGGTAGACCAGAGGCTTAGCTTCTCCCAACGAGCCCCGTGAGGGCGGGGATTGGGGCTAGGCCTGGAGACAGTTGGTCCCAGAAGATGAGGAGGTACTTGTACCTCCTCCCATGGCAGACATAGCCACATAGGTCTCAGCCACTACTAAAAGACAGGGAGCCAGGGCCAGGTCACCATCTGGAAAAGACCCGGGCAGGGAGAGTACCGGCGAATCAAGAAGTTTGTAAGGAAACAGGATAAGTGTTTCCTGACGCGAGTCTAAGTCATAGGATGACCCACAGCTGGAACTTTTCGTCATCTGATCGAGGCCTTCCACTGGCTTACCCCTCCACCCCATTCAAAATTAAGATTACAATCATTTAAGTGAGACAAACGTGTACAGTCATGTTCTGTCAGTTAATAACTGATTTAAAATATTTTTTTATTTTATTACTTTAACTCTTTAGGGTATTTAAATAAAATGTGACCTTTTTTTCCTGACCAAAATTGTGGCTTATTTAATGTAACATTTTCCCCAGACCCCCCCCCTCAATATCAATGCACATGAAAGGAACAGTGCAGGGTGGTCACAAAATTCCCCTTCAACAAAATATAAATATATGTATATTTTTGTGCATGTTTATGCGTATTAATTTCATGTACATATGGAAATATATATATACATATATATATATATATATATATATATATATATATATATATATATATATATATAATATATATATATATATATATATATATATATATATATATATATATATATATATATATATATATATATATATATATAATATATATATATATATGTGTGTGTGTGTGTGTGTGTGTGTGTGTGTGTGTGTGTGTGTGTGTGTGTGTGTGTGTGTGTGTGTGTGTTTGTGTGTGTGTGTACTTTCACACGTCTCCGTGCGTCATCAGTAGCTATGCAATGTTGCAAGCGTAGCAACAGGAAAAACGAGGGAAAGTTTTCTTAGAGTAAGGTAGCGTGGTGACATCACCATATTTGCCATTTTCCACTTATCTAACACTATGCCAGTTTGTAGAGATATGTCGAAAAAACTATCCAAAGGGTCGCTAAATTCCTCCTTACATTCTTTTAAAACCCCTGCAAACAGTTCATCAGGGCATATATATATATATATATATATATATATATATATATATATATATATATATATATATATATATATATATATATATATATATATATATATATATATATATATATATATATATATATATCGTGCCGAATATTTAAAACTGGTCAATTAGCAAGAACTCATTTAAAATTAAGTCCTTTCTAAAATTTTCTCTTATACGTTTAAAGATATATTTTTTTCATTAATGTTGATGTAAAAATTTATAATTTTGCACCAAAAGGAACTTAGAAAACTTACCTAACCTTATTATAACAAGCGCAATTTATTTTAGCCTAACCCAGCTAAATATATTTTAGATTTGTTTACAATAATTTAATACTAAACAAACACAGTGAATATATGTTTTTTTCGTTAGGTTCAGAATGATTTTGGCGAAATTATTGCATACACAAATTTTCTCTTGTCCTATATGGCGAGAAGAGCGTTGCTATTTAAGCCAAGATAAGATAAGATTTCGTTCGGATTTTTAACCCCGGAGGGTTAGCCACCCAGGATAACCCAAGAAAGTCAGTGCGTCATCGAGGACTATCTAACTTATTTCCATTGGGGTCCTCAATCTTGTCCCCCAGGATGCGACCCACACCAGTCGACTAACACCCAGGTACCTATTTGCTGCTAGGCGAACAGGACAGGTGTAAGGAAACGTGTCGGAATGTTTCCACCCGCCGGGAATCGAACTCGGGCCCTCCGTGTGTGAAGCAAGAGCTTTAGCCACCAGGCCACCGGGCCACCACCAGTGCCTATTCAGCACGACATATATACATATATTTGACATACTAGTTAGTCACATAGACAAAAGGCAAGAAGTGTTAAGTTTGATACAAATGCGAGGAAATATTTCATTGATGTTAGATTAGTAAACAAGTGAAGTGAGGTGTCAAGTGGTGGAAACAAACTCAAGGCAAAATTTCAAGAGTAGGTGTAATAGGCCTAAGTGGCCAGAAACAAGCATTTACCAGCAAATTTTCTGATAGTAAGAGGATTGGCCAGAATTTGATTTTCGATCCCCGTCAAAAAAAAAAAAAACCTCGTTGATACAACTTGGTGAGTATAACTAGTTGAGTACAAATGGTTGATAAGTAAGACACATGTGCAAGTTAGGTATCTTTATTCCGAAACGTTTCGCCTACACAGTAGGCGTCTTCAGTCGAATGCAGAGGAGGCAACAGAAGCTTTAGAGATGTAAAGACGATGTAATCACTCCATCACCTTTTAAACGTAGTGTTAAGATGGTCACCGACCATATTAAAACTCCGTCTTCAAGGGTGATGGATTGATTACGTCGCCTCTACATCTCTACTGTACTCACAGCTAGTTGAGTACAACTTGGTGAGTACACAACACACAAGGCCCAGTCACCTGACACTCGGTTGAAAATCACCCAGGTGAACCAAAAAAAAAAAAAAGCCTATTAGCTATTATATCATATAACAAATTATCATTCGCATAATTGTAGTAATAGGAATGATAATTTACGAGATTATTATGCAAATTTTCTAGTAAATGTAGCAAGAGGTGAGCAGGCAACCTCCTTTCTCCTGCTGGTCTGCTTGCAAGTGCTTCTCTCCGGAGGGATGCCTCCATGCTGCTGAGTGTGGGGGGAGGGGGGTCATGATCAAAGGAACTGGAACTGTCCTCTCCCTTAACGTGAGAACAGTAGAAATTAAGAACACTGTGGTAGGCCTACTGACCCATGCTAGGCTGGTCTAACTCACACCCACTCATGTACCCGTCCAACCTATTTTTAAAGTTATTCGATAATGATAATAATAACCGCGATGGACAAACAAGACAGTGATCACTATCCACTACGGACAGAAAACAACATTGATCACTATCCATCACGGACAGGTAAGACTGATCACTCACCACCACGGACAGGTAAGACTGATCAATCACGACCACGGACAGGCACGACAGTGATCACTTTCCACCACGAACGGGCAAGACAGTGATCAGTACTCGCCACGGACAGGTAGGACTGATGACTCACTACCACGGACAAGTACAGGCAGATCCTGCTTAGGAGAAATCAGTTATAGCCTTCAGTCAGGTGACCTGAAGGAGTCAGGTCACACACGACAAGTAACGGTGGACCTGACCCGACTTAACCTTTCTGGTTGCTACTCCTCCCGCACCCCACATATTACCTCACCAATCACAATAAACCAGTCCTCACTTGTTACACCTATCTGCTCTTCTATCTCACGTGTATCCCGTTCCTTCCATCGTGGAGAATTTTCCTTAAAAATTCCGTTTCTCCAGTGCATGGGAGATGGAGATTCCCAAGTGATAGTAACGGCAGTTCTGCTGGAAGGAAACCTATGAAGCTGCCATAGCTGATGGACCTTGAATGAAACACTTGACGACATTCTCACTAACCTACTGAAATCTTCCAGCTCAGACTGACACGGTTCAACATTGTATGTAACTCATCCCGTGTGAAGGAATATGACAGGGGAACACCATCCTGTGTGATGAAATATGACTCGGAAACAGGTAGCTTTTCTTTCCACTATGTCATTACGATAAAGAACAGGCCAGCAGAACACTGTTAATGTATTTAGTTTTAAGTGGTACAAGGACAATCGTATGTCCTTCCACACCTTTTCTTTTCTCTTTCTCTCCCTCTTGTCTTAACTCATCCTTCCTCCCTCCATCCCCTTCTATATTCCCCCACTTCCCCCTCCCGCTGCCCACCTCTCATGCCAGCAAGTTTTCTTGAAGGTCAGAGATTCAAGTATAATTATTACACACGACCAATCTCTGATTTTCCAACTTAATACTAAATAACACATCTCAGTGCATCTTGGCACATCCCAGTTCATCTTAGCACATCCCAGTATACGTTTACTTATATCGCTGTTTATTTTCTCATCTATGTGTTGATGTATATTGTTCACAATAACCATAAACGACATATTGAAGGAATAAATAGTCGGACAAGTTTGTCGATGATACTAAAAAAAAAAAGGCCGTCAATAAGGTCTGATAAGAACACTAGTCGGAGGATTTGAAGGTAATGGTCAGTGTGGACAAATGTAAGATTCCAGTCCAGGAAAAAGAAAATAACTGTGGGACATATAAACAAAATAATGCAGATCTTAATCAAGCCAAATACGAAAAAGACTCGGGAGTTCTGCTTGGTAAAAATTTAAAACCAAGA